GAAGGAAGTGAGCGGTAACGTTACAGTAACAGACCTGTCCTGAGCAGAAACCCCCTGTCAGGCTTTGATAAGCACCTTCTCTCATCTGATCTTCATTCAACAGTGAACTATTCCTTATCCCTGTTTTACAGATGAGGGAGCAGAGGCTTTAAAAAGGTAAGCAACTCAGCCTTAGAACTTAGAGCTTCTAAATATTTAGAACTTACAAAGTTCTTACACATGTATTTCTTCATTTGTTCCTCTCAGTAAACTCAGGAAGTAGGAATTCTTGGTAAGCTTATAGTTGAGATAACAGAGCCAAGATGACTTGGGGCCCCTGATCCTGTCATGGGCAGGGTCATAACTAGTACATAAGACTGTGGTTTTTCCATTATCACATCCTGAACAATAATCGCCTGAAGAGTTATGAACTTTGTGGGGCTCCAACTTACTGCCCAGTACTAAGCAGAAATAAATACTATATATGTGTTTAGCAACATCCATTTGCTTCTAAAAGGTTATATTTGATGTATGCTTATTTCCACATTTTGAACAGAAACTTACATAAAAATAACCTTGTATCCTTGGGTTCAGGCTACCAGATAGATATTGAGTCTGACCAGTCCAAAAGAAGGACAAATACCTATTGTTTCTTAATACATACGTGCACCGTTACCAACTAAAATGAACATGAGGTCTCTGTGTCCCTTATTATGCTAGAGGATTTAGGTTTTTCAGGCAAAACTCTGTCCTTCCAGGAAGCAGAGAAGGGAAATGGAGAGGGAGGGAAGAGAGAGAGTAAGAAAGCATGAGATTGGGTGTGGTGGCTCACTCCTGTAATCCCAGCACTTTGGGAGGCTGAGGTGGACAGACCTCTTGAGCCCAGGAGCTGAAGACCAGCCTGGGCAACATGGTGAAACCCCATCTCTACTGAAAAGGTAAAATGTAGCCAGGTGTGGTGGTGTATACCTGTAGTCCCAGCTACTGTGGAGGCTGAGGGGGAAGAATCACCAGAGCCTGGAAAGTTGAAGCTGCAGTGAATTGTGATTTCACCACTGCACTCCGTCCTGGGTAAAAAGAGTGAGAGGAGAGAAAAGGAGGAGGAGGAGGAGGAAAGGGAGGGGGAGGAGGAGGAGGAGAGGGAGGGGGAGGAGGAGTGGGAAAGGGGAAGGAAGAGGAGTGGGAAAGGGGAAGAAAACAAGGAAGGAAGGGGAAAGAAAGAAAAGGAAGGAAGGAAAGAGAAAGAAAATGAAAAGAAAGAGAAGAAAGAAAGGAAGGAGGAGATCTTGGTGTTCTGGAACTTTCTATTGGAACATAGGCGCTACTGGCCTGTTGCAGATGTGCAGGGAAGCCCCAGCAGTGGGAGGATGCCCTTCATTCATTCTTCATTCACTCACTGGCACAAACATTCATAAATGCTTGCTGTCTCACCAGGCGCTACTCTTCTAGATGCTGAAGATACAGCAGTAAACTAACCAGTCTCTGTCATCATAGGATTTACGTTATAGTTGGGAGAATTGCACAATATGCAAAATAAATGTGTAAATTACAGGCTATATTATAAAGTGTTCAGGAAAAAAGCATAGGGGACATGTCGAGAGTACAGAGGGTGAGGTCTGTAATTTTCAATAGGGAAATTGGGAAGGCGTCCCTGAGAAAGTGGCCTTTGAGCAAAGGCTCCAAGGTGATTGCAGGAGTCCAGTCTTGTGATCCTTGGGGCAGAGGGAACAGCAGATACAAAGGCAGTGGTGAGCCCTGTGTGTTTCAAAGATGGTGAGGAGGCTGGTGTGCCTGGAACAGGGCAAGGGATACCAGGAGAGGTGGTCAGAGAAATAAAGGGAATTAGGTGGGAAGTTAATAGAGAGCTTTATATCATAAAAGAATCTGGATTCTGTTTTGAAAATTGTAGGAAAGTCTGAGAAGAAGCAGAGACTGCAGCTAGAAGGCTGTTGCTGTGGTCCACGAGAAAGGGTAGCTTGCAGGAGAGATTAGCTGTGTGGTTGGTGAGAGGTTTGGATTCTAGGTAGACATTCAGTGCTATTGATATTCAAATGCTTAGGTGCCAAGCACTGAGACCCAGGACACTGAACAGTTGGAGAACCAGTGTCATTTAAGAGTGAGTGGATAACACACTGCCTGTTTGTGAATACTACCTAGAGCAGGCGCCCCCAAACTTTTTACACAGGGGGCCAGTTCACTGTGTTGGAGGGCTGGCACATACTGTTCTCCTTTCATTGACCACCAATGAAAGAGGTGCCCCTTCCTGAAGTGCGGCGGGGGGCCGGATAAATGGCCTCAGGGGGCCGGGCCATAGTTTGGGGACGCCTGACCTAGAGTGACTGATGCTGGGGTGGGGGAGGCAATACTGTGTAGAAGGTTGCCTTTAGAGTTCCAGTCCTGCCGTGCCACATGCTGGGAGGGGGATTTCGAGCAGACTCATTTAGCCTCCGAGTCTATTTCCTTTCTGTAAAATGGGGAAGTGACATCTATTTGGATACTTAAAACATATAGCCGGGCCCGGTGGCTCAAGCCTGTAATCCCAGCACTTTGGGAGGCCAAGGCGGGCGGATCACGAGGTCAAGAGATCGAGACCATCCTGGTCAACATGGTGAAACCCTGTCTCTACTAAAAATACAAAAAATTAGCTGGGCATGGTGGGGCGTACCTGTAATCCCAGCTACTCAGGAGGCTGAGGCAGGAGAATTGCTTGAACCCAGGAGGCGGAGGTTGCGGTGAGCCGAGATCGCGCCATTGCACTCCAGCCTGGGTAACGAAGAGCGAAACTCCATCTCAAAAATAAAATAAAATAAAACAAAACATATAAATAACAAATATGGATTGCTTAGGACAATTACTATAATCAATAGGGTAGACATAGAGGTAACATTTGGATTCTTTTAAGTGGCAGAATAATGTTATGGTTAAGAGCTCAGATTCAGAAGCCATACCTCCTGCATGATCATGTACAAATTACTTAAATCCTGCATGCCTCATTTGTAAAAAGGGTGACACACACCTATCTGAGGTGTTGTATTGAATAGCTGAGTTGGTATGCAAGCATGTAGAGCACTCCTTCCTAGTGTTGCTGTGAGTTCCGAAGAAGTTGTTCAGAATCCCCTAATAACATTAGCTTATTTGGGCTGCATTATACCTATTTCTAGTCCATTTTTATTTCAATGTTTTCTAAATCCACATTTTGCCTAAATTGCCAAACAATGTCAGTTAAACCAAACCATTTTATTTGGTTTTCTGTTTATTCATCCCATGCAATCAGAGTGTCTCTTTAATTTCTTCTTGGATTAGTTGTGTTTACCAACAGCTCTGGAAATACATTCCAGCCTTCAGAAAGAAAACGACAATAGTTGTAACAAGGTATTAGAGGTTGTATAAACTTGTCTTACTTGAAGTTAATGGGAAAAATGTGGAGAAAAAAATAATGAGGGGAAATTTTGAAAATTGGGCAATGATGTTTAACCAAAATGACGTGCATTTCTGAATGTAAATGCACAACTGTGTTAATGCCTTGCCGGCTGCCTGCCATCCTGAGGTTTTATCACATCATAATGCAGTGATGAGGTATTTCTTTGCCTTTTTGGTTTTTCTACTTGCAGATGCCAACAATGATTATTTGTAATTTCAGAAATAAAGATGCTCAAAAGCAACATCTGTGGTTCCATATTTTTCTGTGGGATTCAAAATGCATGTCTTATTCCTATTTGTAACCAGGGAATATTTGCAGTGAAACATAATTCCTATGTACTTGATTTAGCTCTGGGCCAGATTGACTAAAAGGTTTTAAAATGGTGCCCACGCTTTCGGTATCTAAACTATGTGGAGTCTCGACCTTTTAATCCCTATTTTCTTTAATACAAATAAAAGAGAGTTTATCAGTTGATTCAGATGAGTGGGGGTATGCCATGTAAATTTCAAGGAATTATGCACTAAATTACAGGACCCATTTGGGGGCTTAAATATTATTCTCCACTACACAAAACTGGCATGAATTTTATTTTAACTGAAATGGCACATAGTGGCAGGCAATTGTTTTTGTTATTGTATTTCCTATCCTGGCCTCCAGAACCTAAGGACAATGAAAGGGGATGTTCATTTATAATTTGACCTCCTGAATTGTTCTTGAAATGCAATTTAATCCTCATATCAAGCAAAGTCTAATGCTGTATTTGCCAGTAAAATAGCCATTTGCATTTTTTATTGACAATACAAATTGTGTTTAATCAGGCAGTCAGCATGTTAGCATTTCCAAATGACTGAAGACCCATTTTTGTTCAACTACGTCCTGTTTTGAGTCAAATGCATTTTGTTGATTTTAATGATCAGGGCACATAAAATTGCTCTTTAACACTGCGCTTTTAAAAAATAAAATGTCCAAGTCTGACATAGCTATAGTTTTTCTTTTTTTAATAATATTTTCTTTATTTACAACTTAGAATCAACAAAGACAGTCCAAGTGACCAAATGGGGAGATGACTGAAACCCCCAGGGCCCCAAATGGAGCAAAGCGAAAGGGAAAACAAGAGTAGAAAAAAAATGTCAATGTAAAAAAACAGCTCCTCCTTCTTCCCTCCCCATGGAGGCTGAGGGGACCAAGTCTCCACCTTCCCCCTAGCCTTACCTAGCTTAAAATAAATTAGAACAAAAAACCTCAAAACAGGGCCCTTAGAAGTGAACAGGGCAGGTATGACTTCAGGTAACTCCAGATCAGGGGCTTTGCACACTTCCACCCTGTACCCCCTTGTCCTGCCCCAGTCATTTTGAATGGGGGGTCTGCATCCAAGAGATCACTCCCCAGTGTGGCCTTGTGAGAATTCAATCTTACTTTATCCATGTCCCTCCTTCAGTAAATGTCCCTCTATCCCTCCCCCACTGCAGAGCCAGCTCTCCTAGAGGAGAGCAGGGGGGTAAGATGAAGAAGTCACAGTAAAGGGGAAAGGAATGGGTGGGGCAGGGTGGTCTAGGAGTCCGGTCCTGCGGAGCCTTCCTGCCCCATGTGGCCTGGCCCCTTAGCCTGAATCTGATTCACTGGTGTCTGAAGAAGATGATGATGAAGAGGAGGAGCTGGAATCTGAGCTGGAGCTGGAATCTGAGCTGGAGCTGGAAGCGCTGAGATGTGACACTGCTACTTGCTGTGTAGAGGATGACTCTGTTTTCTCACTTGCTTTCCTGGGGGGCTTTTTAGTGGAATTGAGCTGTCCACTGACATCTCCTAACCGCTTTTCTAATTCCTGCTTTTTCTCCAAAGCCACATCTTCCTTAGTCTTTCCCACAGGCTTCTTAATGGTATAAGGCTTCTGGGGTTTCTTACGTAGGCAGGAAAAGACATAGCGCTGAAGCTCTCTAAGTGTGGATGGCTTGAGTGTTTCAAAATCAATCTCAATCTCTTCTGGGTTTGAATCACGTAAAGAGGGCTCCCTGGCTTGGATTATCTGCACAACTCGGCCCAGCTTCTCTCCAGGTAATTTGTTGATGTCCAGGCTCAGCCGCCACTTTTCGTCACAACTCATGGGCCTGCTCTCTTCCTCCTCCTCTGAATCATAACCTATAGGCATGGCAGGTGGGGCTGTCTTTGCGGCCTTTTTGGGGAGGTTGGTGCCACATCCTCCAGAAGGTCCCAAACCAGAAGGGCTTAAAGCAGTATTGCCAGCTCCACTGCCAGTTGCTTTCTTGGACTTCTTGGGCTGAGGTGGGCAGGGTGTCTGAGGCCCCTTGTCATCTTCATCGGCCCCAGCTTGTTCTTGATGATTCTCTGCCTTCTGTTTCTTCTTTTTCTCTTGTTTCTCTCTTTTCCTCTTGGGCTTGGATATTGGACCCTGGGACAGAGCAGCCAGTTGTTCGTGTACTGCCCGAAGCTGTTCCTGCAGTTCTGCCAAGCGACGAGCCCTTTCTTCCTCTGAGTCTGAGCTTTCACTCTCCTCTTCTTCCTTAGAGGAGCTCTCACTGCTACTTTGATCAGTGGAGGACTCTGAAGATGATTTGGCCAAGCCAGGGGGCATGGCAGTAGAGACTGGTAAAGGCCCTGGTTCCAGTGGTTCATCTGGCATCTTGGCATAATAGAACTCAAATACATCCTGTAGCTTTTGTGCCATTGCCACAACATCGTGATCTGGGGGATTGTACTTGTAGCAGTTGGAGAACATAAGCCATAGGTCAGCAGCAAACTCCTGTGCATGCCGGTAATCACGGTTCTCCATCTTCTGCTTGATAGTGCTGAGGTCCATAGGGTGCTTAATGATGTCATGGTAGTCATGCAGGCCAAGTGCAGAAGCGTCCACTGGTTTATAGAAAGGCCAAGCATAGGCAGCATGCTTCTTAGAGAGTAATTCCTTCAGAATGCCATTGCAATGCTTTAATTGTTCTGAAAGCTTTCCTTTCTTAGAGCTCTGGTGTTGTTGCTGAGAGTCAGGTAAGTCTTTGCGCGGTGGATTGATGGGGCGACCACTCTCTCTATGCATAGGGGGATGCTGTGTTGCCTTAGGCTTAAGACTCCCAGAAGGGCTAGCTGGGGAATCAGGAGCCAGGATGGCTGTAGATGTACGGGTGGTAGTATCTGCTTTCCGCTTTACACCTTTTTTCTTGGGAAGGGGCTGGGCCAGAGGAGCTGCATTAACATCAGTGAGTGGAGGTCCAGCGGAGTGCAGGGACTTGAGAAGTGGAGAGGAAATGACTGATGGGTGGGGAATGTTGAGGACAGTGGTAGACATATCAGGTGGTGGAGTATACAGGGCTGTGTGTGACACAGAAGAGACAGCAGGCACGTGATGGGCACTGGTAACACTGCCCTGGAGTGCTGCCAACTTGGCCCCCTTCTTGTGGCTATTCTTAGGGATGGTCACCACCAGCTCTTGTTCCTCTTGTGGCATTGATGCAACTTTCTGTAGGAAGATCTTTTCCAGCATTTGTGCCATTAGGACAATATCATCAGTGGGCTTGTTGTAAATGTAACAGTTGGTGAACATGCTATTAAAATCTTGAATACACTCTGAGGCAGTCCAATAATAATTGTTTTCAAGTCTCCTCTTAATAGTACCCATGTCCATAGGCTGTTTTATAATTTTGTGGTAATCCTGTAGACCCAGTTTGATAGCATCCACAGGCTGCCGGAATGGCCATGCAAACTGATGTTTCCACAGAGCCTTCATCACTACCTTGTGTAGGTATTGCAACTGGTTGGTAACTCGTCCTGGCTCTTTGGGATTGGACACCTCCGGCGGTAGTGGGTTGGCAGGGGTCAGTTGCAAAGCAGGCACCGAAGCCATTGTGGGGCTCTCAAATCCCTCATACAAGAGGGAAGGCTTTGGAATCCTTTCCCCTGGCACCCCTGCTTCTGGGCCCAGCCCCAGCAATCCTGCATTCCCTTCCCCAGGGAGCTTGTTGTGAGGACTCACGTTTTGCAGCATCTCAGCCCCGGAAAGTCTGGATGGCCTCAGTTCCCCTCACTGCCTGGCTGGGTCCAGCATCACCCGTAAGTGGGTGGGAGGCCGTTGCTCTTGGCCCTCCAGGCGACAAACCCCAGCCCTGCCGGTAGGAAAGCAGTGACTTCGGGGGCCTCGTGGAGAGCTCGGGACAGCTTGGCGCACTCTGCAGACAGTGGACAGCAAGAAAATGGCGGCGGCCTCCGCTGAGGCAGGTGACTGAGGAGGGACTGACTCTTCAAAACAAGACAGTCCCTGATCTCAGACACCGTCGTCAGTATACCCTGCCGTTGGTCTGCAGGGATCCTGTCTTCTTGTTGGGACCCTGTGGGTCCCGTTTTGATCTCGGATGGAGGCGGATAAATACGAAAAGTCGTTTAGGGGGCCGCCGCTGCCGCCTCCATCCCTGAAATCCTCTGGAGGGCAGGGTAGAGGAGTGGGCGGACTCTGAGGACTGGGCGGGGCTGGAAAAAGCAGCTTCAGGGGCTTCTATGGGGTCTGTACCGTCCGCGGGACGGGTGATAAACCCGGATGAAGGCTATGTCCAAGCCCGTGGACGTGGATTGTAATGGCGGCCCCAGACGACTCGAGGACTCTGTATTGGTACGCAGAATCCTCCAGCCGGTTCCACAAGCCGCTCCGCTCCGGTGTAAGATGGCGCCGCCGAGGCCCGCGCCAGCCCCTTTCTATAGAGGTGGAGAGGCGGGGCTTCGCCGCTCATGCGCGCCCCCTGCTTGAGTTCCCCCCACCCCCTCCACACGCCTGCGCTCACCCACGCGCAGGAAGCAGCTCAGTGGGGGAGGAACACCTCTCCACGGGCGCTTTTCCTATTGGCCAGCGGCAGCGATGACATCATAAACCTCATTTCCAAGGTGTCAGTCACCGGGCAGAAGAGTACCACAGAGACCCACAGGAAAGTGGCGACCGGCCGCATCGCCAAGCCAATTGGCTGAGCTGTGGTTGGCGGACTCCAGGGACAGAAGGCGGTTGGAAGGGGTGCAGAAGCCATCGTCCCAGTGCCTCCAGCACCCTCTTCCGCCTCCCCTTCCAACAAAGTCTTCCCAGGCGTCCATACATGGCGCGACCGGAGACTGCCAAGCTGGAGCAGGTCGTGCCGTTGGTAGCTCCTCCATTGGCCAGACCGGCAGGAAAACGGGAGGGGTCGCGTGGGCGGATGGGTGGTGGTTCTTGGTGGTAGGGCGGCTGCAGCGAAGAATCTGGATCCTGAAGCCTTCCAGGGAGCTTCCAAAGTTGCCCTTGGCTTGGTACCGGGTGTGTAATCCCGGGTGTCACTCCCCCACCCCCGCAGGAAACGAAGCCATGTTGGAGCAGAGGGCGTAGTCCCCAGCCCCTCCCTTCCAGAGCGGGCTACGGGGTGGGGAGACATCCGGCCTTGCTGCCATGTCAGCAGCACCCCGGTTAGCTGATCGGGGTCTCGTGCCCACTGACCCCCCCACCCCGCCATCTCCTGCAGCTGCGAGTACAGGTTTTCCAAACGTTCCTGGGGGTCACGCAAGGGACCAAGGGGTCTGCATGGCGAAGGCCTATGTTCTGAAACCCAGAGCGCTCTAATGCTGCTGCTGTCCAAATCCCCAGCTTCCTGTCCCACGACTGTAGACTCTGTCCCCCAACTCGTCTCTCTGTAGGGGTTCAGCATGGCTGCGGCAGCCCAGGAACACACAGCGCAGGCGCAAGGGTGCGTCCTCGTAGCTATATTTTCTTGTCTCCAGAAGAATGCCAGGAAGCTCTTAAATTCTTAAATTTACACACTTAGGAGATGTTAGCCCAGCTTAGAAGAACAATTAGAACATGTTTCTACAAATTTATTTTATTGTCGAAAGGACCGTGGTGGGGTGGACATAGTTCTGAACCAGAAATGGAAAGGCTACAGTTGGATGATTATTCCCATAAAGAAAGGAAAAGTTAGTTCGCTGGTTTCTAGCTATGTGACACCTCGCTTCTCTGGGCCTCAGTTTCCTTATTTAAACAGGAAGGACAACAGTGTTCTTTAACTTTCTCTAGGATGTTCATGAAGCTTTATCCTTTCAGAGGTACTGTGGAAGCCCAGCTCTACTATTACTAACCAGATGACCTTAGGCAGGTTCATCAATCCCTGCCTCAGTTTCCTCATCTGTATGGTGGAGGCAATAATAGTACTTTACAGGATTGTTGTGAGTAGGAGTTACTATATGTAAAGTTTAAAACAATGCTTATAGTATGGGAAGTGCTGTTTATATTTGCAGGTATACCTTTGTCATTATTCTTATTAATAGCACCTTTGTCACAGGGTTGTTGTATGGACTAAACCAATTTATATTTGTAAAGTACTTAAAACAAACCCTAACATATGTTGTAAGGTACAAGCGTTTGGTATTGTGATTATTATTAGTTCACTACCGTTTATTAAGTGCTCACTGCATGTCGGATGTTATATCAGGAATCCTCACAGCAACTGGTGAAAGGACAGTTAGTAGCTTCACTTTTCTGTAAGCTTTACATAAAGAAAAAGGCTCCAAGTCATTAAGACACTGTGCCAAGTGAACATGCTGAGTGCATGGCAGAATAGGACTTGAACCCAGGGCAACCTGACCCCAAGGGAGATGCCCTTTAATGCCTATGCTTCCTTAGTCCTGTGTTCAGGCCTCAGAGTCCTGAGCTTGGAGTCCACTTTAGATGAGGTTCTCTGTGAGCATTCCAGGCCCTTTTCCTGCCACACAGGATGGCACATCCTTAGCCTGGCCTCCATAGACATCATGGTAACCTTGGCTGGGCCTTAATTTACCACTTACACCCACTGAGACCGCTTGTACTTGGCCTGGCTTCCTTTACTGAGAGAAAATGGGAGTCCAAGGCTGGGGGTCTATTTTGATTTCCCTTTCTCCCAAATACCTGCTTCAATTGTATCACTTCCTTTACTGCCTCCTCCAACCCTTGTCTCCATCCTGTTATTCCTAATCCAATGTGCATTGCCAACATAAGGTGTTAGGATAATGATGATGACAGTGATGGATTCTAGTATGTTTTGGAGAAGACATTCATTGATAATGGTAAATATCAAATTTGTTTACATTGGTCCACATAGACACAGATTATAATAATAACAAACATTTATTGAGAGTTTAGTATGTGCCAGAACTGTTCTAAGCAGTTAATACATATTATTTTATACTCACAGCAACACTATGCAGTAGGTGTTCACACTGTCTGCAATCTACAGATAAATCAACAGACCATAATCTGTAGGGAGTTGGAGTGGCTTTGAGAGGAGCAGAACTGGCTGATCCCTGAGAATTTAATTCCACTCATTTCTTCTTACCTGGGTCAATTGGTCACACACAATTTTCCTAGCACTGTGCTATTGCAACCAATGCGAGCGAGGTAGAGGAATAAGCATAGGAAGGAACAAGCATGTATGGGGCATTTAATGTGCCCAGCATGGGGCTACATCCTTTATATATGTTACCACATGTCCTGTTGACAGCAACCCTATAAGGTAGGTAAGTGTCCCATTCTCCTGTCAGAGATGACGATGAGAAACTGAGCCGTTAAGTGAGTTGCTGTACCTTACATTGTTACATGGCAAAGCCGGGGTTTGAACTCAGGTCTGTCTAGGTGTGATGCTCAGACTTTTTTTTTTCTTAATTGCATTTTAGGTTTTGGGGTACATGTGAAGAACATGCAAGATTGTTGCATAGGTACACACATGGCAGTGTGGTTTGTTGCCTTCCTTCCCCTCACCTGTATCTGTCATTTCTCCCCATGCTATCTCTTCCCACCTCCCCACCCCCATCCCTCCCCCATTTCCCCCCAACGGACCCCAGTGTGTAGTGCTCCCCTCCCCATGTCCATGTGTTCTTATTGTTCAACACCTGCCTATGAGTGAGAACATGCGGTGTTTGATTTTCTGCTCTTGTGTCAGTTTGCTGAGAATGATGGTTTCCAGGTTCATCCGTGTCCCTACAAAGGACGCAAACTCATCGTTTTTGATGGCTGCATAATATTCCATGGTGTATATGTACCACATTTTCCCTGTTCAGTCTATCATCGATGGGCATTTGGGTTGGTTCCAGGTCTTTGCTATTGTAAACAGTGCTGCAATGAACATTCGTGTGCATATGTCCTTATAGTAGAATGATTTATAATCCATTGGATATATACCCAGTAATGGGATTGCTGGGTCAAATGGGATTTCTATTTTTAGGTCCTTGAGGAATCGCTACACTGTCTTCCACAATGGTTGAACTAATTTACACTCCCACCAACACTGGAAAAGTGTTCCTGTTTCTCCACACCCTCTCCAGCATCTGTTGTCTCCAGATTTTTTAATGATCACCATTCTACCTGGCTTGAGGTGATATCTCAATATGGTTTTGATTTGCATTTCTCTAATGACCAGTGATGTCGAGCATTTTTTCATATGTTTGTTGGCCTCCTGTATGTCTTCTTTTGTAAAGTGTCTGTTCATATCCTTCGCCCACTTTTGAATGGGCTTGTTTGTTTTTTTCTTGTAGATCTGTTTGAGCTCTTTGTAAATTCTGGATATCAGCCCCTGGTCAGATGGGTAGACTGAAAAAATTTTTTCCCATTCTGTTGGTTGCCGATTCACTCTCATGACTGTTTCTTTTGCCGTGCAGAAGCTGTGGAGTTTGATTAGGTCCCATTTGTCTATTTTGGCTTTTGTGGCCAATGCTTTTGGAGTTTTGGTCATGAAGTCCTTGCCTACTTCTATGTCCTGAATGGTTTTGCCTAGATTTTCCTCTAGGGTTTTTATGCTGTTAGGGCTGATGTTTAAGTCTTTAATCCATCTGGAGTTAATTTTAGTGTAAGGTGTCAGGAAGGGGTCCAGTTTCTGCTTTCTGCACATGGCTGGCCAGTTTTCCCAACACCATTTATTAAACAGGGAATCCTTTCCCCATTGCTTGTTTTTGTCAGGTTTGTCAAAGATCGGATGGTTGTAGGTATGTTGTGTTTCCTCTGAGGCCTCC